CCCCCCCCCCCCCCCCCCCCCTCTCTCGCCGACCCTCCTCCTCCCACCTTTCCCCTCCCCCGTCCCTCACGATTCTCTTTTTTTACCTCCCCTAGTCATCGATGTATCTCCGTGAATATATTCTAGCATGCTCCCCCTCCCCTCCATCTCCCCCCTCTCCCCTCCCTCACCTCCTCCGGCCTCTCTTGTTCTTTCCCCGTCCCATGATTCTTATTCTTTACATCCCTCATACCACCAACTTGTCTTTGTGAGTATATTCTAGCGCCAAAGGAGGTCCCAGTGTGCGTGTGCCCAAGAAGCAACGGCCCTGAGAGGAATTTAAATAAGCAAACTCATTTTTGAGGGTATAAACGAAAACTCGATTCCTGGTTTAATTTTTTCTTCATGCTGATTCGCCCAAAATTCTGCTTTGATTGCGTAATAAAGGTTTTGAGGGTACAAACTTTTTGTGAATAGACCTTGTTCATATTTCGTGGAAAATTTGCAATTGCATCTCTGGGAAAAACACCAATTCTGCCCACCAACTGTGATCAATATCATTGCGCAGCAAGAAAAATTTACAAAGTTTTTTATAAATATGTTCAATGAACCATGTACAAAGAAAGAAAATTCCTATTCCAATGAAACATCAATGAAATCCTTGAAACTCCACAAAATTCTTGAACCTAACTGACTACGATTTAAAACCACCAATACGGATGCACAGATTATACTTTATTTTAACAATTAAGATGGAAACAGTAAACAAAAACACAATGTTTAATCTAATATGAACAAAATCCGGTAGAACTGTGCCGGACATATGAAAGCATCCTAGGAATATCTCTAACATGAGAATCTCAAATTCGTTATCCTGGTGAGCTAAAAAAACGCGCTTCTATGCCTTATCATGTAAACAGGGGCAAACAAACTAGTAACCTAAGATAAAGCAACGTAAATTCGTGATAATTTACTCTGGTTCAGTGATCATGATGGATTGTATTGTAAAAACTTTGGTGGGTTGGATCGGCGATTACCTCCTGAATACCAACAAGATCTTCGAGATACGCATCTTTGTAGTAGTACTCGAACCTGCAAATCCGACTCTTCGGATACGATTTTTGAATAATAATTATATGACGGGTATCCAGTGCTCCTCTTTTTCCCCTCCTTTCCCGCACCCCTTGTCCCCTCCCCGCTACATCTCCCTCGTTTTACTTAATGGACCGAAATATTTCTTATCAATTAAAAATATTTTCAACATTTTATTAGTTCTTCTTTTAACATTAAAATATCTTATTTTATTTTATTTACCTTACTACCCTCC